ACGGGGAACAGCGGAAGCTGTTAGGGGACCCAGCTGCAGCAGTCTGTCTGACCTCTGCCCCAGGGGGTACGATGGGAACGATCCCACCGTACTGCTCGACATGAGAGGAGAGCCCTTTGCTGTTCCATATAGTATTTATTTACAATTCATTCAAAGTCACTGCTTTGAAGGTTGAATATAAGCTTATGTCTGCTTTCTCCTGCAAGAACGCTGATGGTCATACCCTTGTTCCTCTTCCAGGACTCTTCTCTGGGGAACTCCCGGAATGTACCCAGGAACTCATGATGGACGTTACGAAGAGCTATTATCAGAAGTTCTTGCCGCTCACTCAGGTCTAGTAGCCTATTTACCATGTTTCAGAGCAGTTAAGGCACGCAGGAGTATTCTGGGGGCGGGGAGGGGGATATTGTTCAGTGAGACCAGGGCACGGCCCTCCGCTGTTCCTGAGCGCTTCTGTGAGTGTTCCTCAACACTAATGGTCTGGCCAAGCAGTCCCTCGTGAAAGCTGCTGTGTCATGTTGTTTAAACTTTGTATGCTCATTTGAATGTAACTCATTCCATGTTGTCTGCATTGTGCGATTAAATGTTGTGGAGCTAGGAAAGCTGACAGAATTCCCTTTAGGGCAGCGTCTCCTTGTTGCAGCTGGGGAGCAAGGCAAAGTTGACAGCACGTACTCTGCAGCCTAAGCCTGCCTTTTCACATCAGTTCTGTTCCTCACCCAAAGCAAGAGGGTTTACGTTTGCTAGAAGCAATCTCCATCCCAGAACAGAAGTGCTGTGTGGCTGACGTGCGTGTTGTTGGGAGTTACTTACCAGGTTCGTTAGACTCAGTGCTTTCCTTTGGAAGAATATTTGCTGCTCTGTAGGCCTGCGTGTTGAGGTGGATGGCCTCTTCCTTTTCTCCCTCTGGACTGAGATTCCCTCCTATAGGGACAGGATATCGTTCATCATCCTGGGATTGGCTTTAGGACTTTTGGCTGACATTGAAACCTGTCTTTCTATGCCTTGCCTGACAGGACACTTCTTAGCTTTTAGCTCTTGAAGTAGACATCCGTCCTGTGCTCTCACCCGTCACGCAGGGTCAGCATTCTCGTGGCCGGTGCATGTTCTACTTCCTGAACATCGCAGACCTTTAAAGAGCCAAAGGGCTTTGGAAAGAGGATTGCCATGTCACTCACAGAATTCAGTGCAGCAGAAAGTGGGTAATCAAAAGCAGAAACTGGAGGTGGGTGAGAGAACGCTGCAATTGTCCCCGTTTATTACCCAGTATGTATATTTGCAGAAAGCTCTTTGGTGCTTTTCTGCATTATAAAACTTAAGAAGGAGATTCAGACTTCTTAGAAAGAGTGAACATTTCATTTTGGACGTGTAATAGAGCAGGAATAATTCTTGCTGGGAGCAGCTCTGTGAAAGTTGGAGACAGCTGACACTTGTGTGTACCTGACTCGGTACCAGACAACCGGCTAAAAATGAATCTGCCTGCTCTGGTTGTGTTATATTAAAGCTTAGCATCGTCCTCCTCTAGCTTTTAAAACCGGGGCCCCTGCATGTTGTAGCGTAGCAGCTGGGGGCCAGGATGCGTATTAGTTACGTAGTAGGTGTATGGCTGTGAGATCAGCGGCCCTGGAGCCTTCAGCTGCTCTGTGTAACGCGAAGCACTGATACACCTTACAGAGCAAACGGCTGTACAAGTACTGAAGTGTGTAGTAACTGCTGTTAATCAAATGTAACACCACTGACTGGTTTGTTTGTATTTTTACTGTACATAAATTAAAGCCTCTTCAGTTGTTCAAGTGACTCAAGGTTGTGACTCTTCAAATCAAACTTGAGACTAGAGTGAGGTTTCTGCTGTGCCTGGGCACATGAGTCGTCTTGTTCTGTGACTGTTACAGGCCGTTACTGACTACTACAGTGTCAGTGCAGTACAGTGTGGAACAGCTTCTTCTTTCTGCCTCTGAGCTGATGACTTTCACCCACAAGTGATTCCAGCATTGGTGTTTCATAATGGCTCTGACAGAGGGTGTCTCTGCTTCTATTCTTCATGCTGAAGCGAGAATCCTAAAGCCACCCGGGTGACTGTAAAAACCACTCTTCGGCACCGAAACGTTAGGCACACCTATTTGGGACAGCAGTAGCTCCGGTAGCGTTGCTTCGAGCGCTTGGAAATGGCCCGCTTTTTGGGTCTAGCCATCCCAGATGGCATGACTCCCTTTGCACCTCTGTAGAAGAGCAGGAGCTGGAGCCAGCTTCTCATGGCAGGGAGCACAGCTGGGACAAGAAGATGAGATTCTGTGTTGAAGCTGCAACAACCGGGCTGGCGCTGCTGAGCTCTCCGATGCAGCGGATCGGTTAGGTCGTGTCTGTCCGGTTTCAACAGAGGTGAAGTGTTTTGCTAGAAAGCCCAGATTCGGCGGGACTGCTGTACCGCCCAGCCCCGTACTGGCTAGAATTACCTGTTCAGTGGCAGCTGTGTTCCTCGAGTCCTGAGGTGGGAGTGGAGACAGGCACAGAAGGAAGCTGTGTTCTTCCTGCGATCTCGTGTGGGTTCAGGGGGATGTCCATGTCAAAGGCCCAGGCTCGCCGCTTTTTCTACCTGCGTGAAAAAGTATTAAGTGTTCCTTGCGGTTGTACCACAGGCAGCTTCCTGATTGACTTCAATTTCCAAAAATGTTTAGTTCCTGCTGTCCAGGATCTGACTAGCCCTTGCATAAGCCGTTTGCAGTGGGGGGGCTATAGGAGGCCTCCCCCGTCACAAGACCTGACAGGTTTGGGGATTTTTGCAAGATTTCCTGCAGGTCAGATGTTTAGGGGTTTATGCTGCCACTCGCAGGAACTACTTCGCCCTGTTAACTTGCCGTCAGCTGTCTCTCGAAGCGGGGGAAGCCGCACTGTATTTGGTCAGGAGGGGGCTGTGTGTGCTGTGTTGCCATGGTGTCACTTCAAAGTTTCAACACCACATAGTACGTTTCACCGGGATCGCTTGATTAACGGCCGCAGTCGGGCAGCGTGAAGCTGGGCTGCTGGTGTGGGAGAGGGGTGGGAAGAGGTGGCTGCCAAATTAAGGGATGTGAGTTTGAGAGTGGGAGTGGGATGGCAGCTGGAAAAGCGTTGCGTTTCCACGATCGCTTGAGCAGCACGGCTGTGGTGCAGCGAGGGATACGACACTGCACGGTTACTTAGGCGTTTCTTGGCCTACTCTTCCTTCTAGCAGGCTGAGCAGAGCCTTCTGCCTTAATTAAAACCTCTTTTATTGTCTCTGTTAAGGTGGCCTCTGCCAGGGTCTAAAACCAAGTCGCCACTGAAGATCTCAAACACTCAGCACTGTTAACATCCCTTAGATTTGGCCACTTTATCCTCCTGTCCTCTGAAGCATCCCTCTGACCTGGGCTCACCTCTACGCCTCCGCCAGCTCTGGGAAGACGGAGCGTCAGTGGGTTGCCGCGTGCTACTACGGCCCCGGGGAATTACCACGGCCCCCGGGAATTACCACCTTCTGACGGCAGCGTTCCACCTAGCGCAGTGCCGCGTGACTCCTGAGAGAGGGGCTGTGCTGCGTAGCCAAAGAGGAGCTGTAGGTGCGCGGGGGGAGCACGCCCCTTAGGGAGGGAAATCCCTTCTTTCAGGAATCTTGTACAAACAGCGACCGCTTCAAACACCGAGTTGCTCTATTGCTTCATTGATCCTATATGCTTTACTCCAGTTTGCTGTGACCAAGACCCCTGGGTCGCGCTGGTCGCTCGTGTTGCAGGGCCCGCGGAGTCCTCGGGAACAGGCGGCGGGGGCTGCAGAGCCCTCCTCTCGCTCGCTCTGTGTCTGCTGCCGGCTGCGGGAGGCGCTGGGCCAGCTGCCGACGGCTCTTGGGGAGCGCAGCTGCTCAGTGTAAGGAGCGGCGAAGAGCCGCTGCCTGCGAGGGGCTGTGCAGGAAGGTAACGGAGTCACCGGCAGAGCGGAGGCCGTCCCCGCTTTGCGTGGAGCGGAATTTCCCCGAGGCGGTCCGGCTCCACCGGGGGAATAACGGCCAATTAAC